AAATTGTTTCTTTTTTCCAGGTTGTTATTAAAGAAATGTACACGGGTAGTACACCTAATTGATCTTCGAACTTTTCAATTCATTCCTTAGCAGCGGATAGTATAGCTATACAATTGGGTGGGAGCTACCTCCTACATACACTTTGTATCTATAGGTTTTCAGATATAGATATACTCGTTCCTATTTTGTATTCTTTCTTCCAAGATGGCGACACACCTCCAAACCAAAGATTCGAAAAAATGATGAAATTTGATATCTAAGTATATGAACATGAATATTATAACGAATCCAAAACATTTTCAAGACACAGCTCACCAGTCACCACAATGGCAAAACCAATGGAAACGAACAATCTAAAATGGCACAACCTTGGGTAAAGGTAATTAATTAGTAAAATTAAAATGTTGGCTATTACCATTGCTATTACTTAGTATGTGTAAGTAAGGTATACCAGGTACAGACATGACATGTAGTACCTACCTATGGGAAAGATCCGTCGACTATAACCAATATAAAAATTCTTAGTACCTACCGAAAGGCTAATGAATAGTTATGCACGTAATGAGTAAGCAGCACGACGGTAGAAATAAAAGTATCATCTCAATTAGGTACATAACACGTGCCTTTCCAGTAGTTAACACATTTAAGAGCTAATGGTCGTCGGTTATTGTATATTTAAGGTTCGGTCGTCCTTACTTATAACAAAGAAAACAATTATCAGCGATTAGGAATCATTTAAACACATCATGTTTCTTAATCATTCTCGACTTATGTGACGTGGACGATATATATTGTCATAAACCTACCTACACCTGTGATAGATTTCAAGGCTATTGTTTTTCTTTCTTCATTTCTTTTCACACTCGCGCACACACCCTCACCCTACCACACAGCGCGCACGCTGCGTAACTTACGCGACATCTTCACTTCCTCTGCGTCAATAAAGTAGGACAAATTCTAAATTTATTATGAGAATGCAAGAAGTCGACCTTAACAAAACAAGAAACTGCATCTGCATGACGTAATCTTCACGTGCAAATTGTTCATAGGTACACAGCAAAGGGCGCCTCTTTGGAATACCTGTAAAGCATCGAAAGGTACAAAGGCCAAAGACTGAAATGAGTTTACAAGATTTCTTTCTCGCACCAGCGGAAGATGCAGGTCAACTGGGGCAAAACTTACTTTTCTAGTCTAGCTCTGACCATGTTTCCATGTTTCCGCAGTCAAAGGTCGAATGTACCGATTTTTTGGTGACGCGATAAAGTGATTAGCTACTTGAAGTAGCAAGTATTTTAATAATCGGAAACACCACTACTATAGAACGATATCACCACGGCTTCGCAATAAAAAAATTCAAACTGTTTGACTGCGACCTTGCCGACGACGAAGGTCGATTTACAATTATATTTTTCTCCACATTTCCATACATTTTCAAAACAATATTTACTACTCTGTACTCTTTGGTTGCGGTAATAGCATTTGGACAAAGTTCAAGATCGCGATGTTTCTTTTTTCGTATGTATTTATTTATCTTTTTTAATAAATCTTAAAGGAGTATTAACCAAAAGATAGTTTGCTTAATCTAAAGAGTGACGCTGACGGTAATGAATTTATCAAGTACTTCAAATGGATGCGATTAAAATTGAAATTCAAAACCTTCAGCACTCATAGAAAGATTCTTTATAAAATCATAGAATTTCAGTAGGTGGTACGTTCTCTAATAAATTTTTTCTATTTCGGTGTCACAATGATGATTTTGTACAACTGTTTTCGGCCGAAAACAGTTGTACAAAGACAGTGATTATAGTCGTTTTTTTTTGGTAACTCATCTCTTAAGTTGGCAGTTACTAGTTTGTACAAGTAGGTAGGTAGGTACTTCGTTGGGTACTTCCATGTTTGAACTTCAAAATGTCACCCTTACTACGCTGCCAACCTAAAACTTAACGGCATAAAAAGTGTTCCCAACATAAAACATGTTAGTTCTAATGTTCCCTATAGTTTCTGATAATGATTTTTTTAATTAAATTAAAGCACCGAAATAGAAAAAATAGTATGAAAAACGCGTGTTACAATGCTTTATTGTAATACTCCTATCTTGCGGACACTCGTGGCTACGCTTCGCGTCGCCACTCGTGCCACAAGATAGTCGTATTACAATAGGTCGCATTGTAACACTTGTCTTTCAATATACTATTGTCATGTCGATTTATACCAAGAAAGCGATGTGGTTAATTTTTACTTTTACGTTTCTGAAACTTTCGCTTATGAAGTTTTGTGTGCACCTTGTAATAAAAAAACTAAGAATCATTTTCGTATTTCAAGTGGTAAAGGAATATTTGGAACTATTTCTGCTCTGCTTAGAATTTTTGAGTTCGATTGTCGTCCCGGAATCCCGGATAGACAGTACCTACCTGAACAATCACAAATGATCTGTAATAAGATTTGTGCGGGGAAAAGCAATAACATAATGTGTAATAAAAAAACTGGAGATAATTGCAATGTAGCGGATTGGAGCTCTGGTCGTTCTGGAGAGTTCCTCGAAATTTTCCGTAATCGAATTTTGTGGTAAACCCACAATTAAAGTTTTTAATATTTCAAATGCCAAGGAAAATATTCAACATTTTTTATGCAAATTTTGTGTTCTGATCTCGGTTCTGATTTAAAATTTTGTATATCCCTCTAACTTTGTTTAGATAGGACATTGGACGATACCCTTCTTAGGGGTTCTAAAGATTTCTTTAATGGTGTTTCAGGTTGAAAGAATTCAATCTAATTACACAGGTTTTTTTACCTTTATCGTTGAGGATGTATGTGTCGGATGGTCCCTCAAATCCACTGACTTTTTACAATGAAGTTTTGTGTTTAACTATGAAAACGGTTTATGATATTTTATATTTCACCCGTTTCCATAAGAAATATATTATAGTTGACACCATTTTTCGGTGGAATTTCGGTCACAGTTCCGAATCATCCTACACAAGTTATGCAACTATAGTCATTATAAGATTTTTCTGTAAAATGTATACCTATATTTGTTTCGTAAATTATACATACCTACTCAATACTAGGAGTTTTTATTTCAGATCATTTGACGAAGTCTTTTGCATTAATTTTTCGAGGAACTATTCTAAAATGGCATAACAAGAACTTTAAAACCACCTATTAATGATCTTTTCAGAAAATTCATTCTTTCTTTCTATTTATCAAGAACTTGAGTACTTTGTGGGGGATAACTTCACATGTGTCTTGCATCGTCCATCAAAATGAGAAAAAAGAGTGTTGAGATATCTGCAAAAAAGTCGCGGTACCTAGGTAGGTACCTACACTTTCAATTATTCATTACTAGAAAAACGTCACAATTACTTACGTTGTAAGTAATATCATCCCCCATTAACTTATTAAGTTCTTATAGTAGCACGGTGTAAGTGCAATATAGTATTATATCTATTATTGTAAGTAAAGGCTATCAAAATTAAAGCAGGAAGTCGTTAAATTGGAAACGTGTATGTCTCAATGAGAGTCCTGTCGAAATGCGCCATCCTTCGTTTCTGCAGTAAACACAATATACGAGAGAGTCGCAAGATAAGCTTCTGCATTGCAGACTAATATCCGGTATGCATTGGACTGGAGTTCGTGAGGACAGGAAGGTGACCCCTGATTCCCGTGCTAACTAGTGGGAGACAGGTGGCAGAAAGCTGGCGAGGCCAGGGGCTGGGGGAAGGCAGCAAAGACCGTCGAAGAACTACGATCAATACCAGCACGAGACCGCTAACACTCCCTTTTGCTTAAAATCCTTTTGAGATACCAAACTAACACACGCTTTTCGTTGCATTTCGATCTTTTTTCTATTTAAATCAATATTGGCAGTAATATGCTTTACTGCCTAGTAAAGTTTCGAGATTACTTATGTCGCATTCAGAAGAAAAAAGTTACAAGTAATTGAAAATGCCTAAATGCGCAAAGGTCTTCAGCTTGGCACGAGTACGAGGGTCACCAGTGCATAAAACACTGATAAAATACTCTGTGAAAAATTCTACGGAATATCATATCATATGGTGTTTTTCTCAATACAAGTTATGCAACAAAACACATTACATACATGTTATGTGTGGATTCGACACCGATGATTGGCATAATCCATTGTATTGTAATTGTTAGGGAAGAAACACGACCGACTTTATGAAAATTACTGGAGATGATGTCAGGATTAAATTAATAAACGCGAAATTGGTTCGATGCCAGACTATATCTAGCACGTACATTGTAAGAGGGCGTTATTAGTACAAGCGGAAAAGTCACGAGATTGTCTACGGGGACCGCAAAAATAATAAATAAAAATAGTAGGAAGGAGGCCTCCCGAGTATTTTAAGAATTGTTTAAGCGAAGAAGTGCGCCAATGACATTAGTTACGTTTTCAAGGAGAAACGATGGCAAACTGAATCGGCAAAGATGTTTGGCCTACATCCCACATTCGGATGCCAAAACTCAGAATTAGCAACGGATCTTTGCGGCGACGCCGCCGATTTCATAAACACGCATATGCCCGATGCCGTAACGTGTGGTGCGATATCTGAACACAAAATCGATACAAATGTTTACAATAATTTTTTTCCATAACGCTATTAATAAGGAAAAATTGTACCTCTCTCATTGTTCGATGCATTACATAATATTCATGCGCGTCTCTTCGACGTGCCCTCCCGCGCTCTTCACTTGGCAACAACGAGCGCGCGTGATAACGTTATCGCACTGTACAAGGCTATATAGAAAGAAGTACTTTAGGTGTGTATTTCGTCGATTACATTTTTAAAGGATGATACAAATTTTAGGAAGGTAAAGCAGAAGAGGCCCGCTGACTTGGGGGGATTCACCCAATTATTTTTAGAATCGGTGGTTTGGCAATAACAGTCGGACGGTCGAAAGAGTAAAATACGCCGAGGTAAAGGCGTCCTGGCGCAACGAATTAAAATCATATTAGGTAGTAAAATGAAGAGACTTACCACAAAAGCGTCGCTACGGATCTCCAGACGCTGAGAAAAGAACACTGCCACGCTGCCTGCCATCCACTTCTCGAGTGCGCCCGCTGGCTGACTCGATGGTAGCCCTCCCTCCCGGCTACATCAGGTCTCCAACACCGTGGTTGCGTCATGTTGCTGGGGTCTGTTACGAATACGTTTTTCCAACAGGACGAGGGCGACGTTATCGTCTTCCATTCCATCATCGATCATTTTTATTCTTTAAGGGAAGACAAATAACCTGCATTGTTGTACGGCTCTTGCGCAAGAAAGACGTCACTCCGACGCCATATCCATTCTATTGCTGCGATTACGATTTCCTCTTGCCAATTGCTGACACGTATCTATTGATGATGTTTATTTAAAGACCTTGTGGCTTGCCTTGTTGTGAAGCCGCCAACTCGTTCTTAGATTAGATTTTAATTTCATCTAAAAGACCAATTTCGTGTAACGTACACTTTCAAATGCCTCCAAAAGGATATTTATATACTTATTGATTCTATCGACGACTTAACAAATATCGTTTAAATAACATTTTTCGCTTCTTTATCGCATTGGATTGGAATTAGAGCACGCCTTCGCGTGTACTCATTTCCGCACGTATACGCAATTACACTCATTTTCTTTTAATGAAATACTTCGCATCTTGAATTTTCTTTTCTCACAAGGGGCGTAGGTATGTGTTGACCTACGAACTCGGGTGGTTGTTACCTATATGATTTCAAACAGGAAAAATGTGTCTGTTTGGTCTGTTCTGCTATACAGGGTGCATCCTGGACAAATATATAACGCTGCTAATTGCGATCAGACCTTGATGGGTGCTCATACAACGAGACAAACATTTTTACTTTACAAGAAGCTACTGTAATTAAAATGCTTCTTGTATATGGGGAACTGTCCCATTGGGATAGTATTCCGGATATTGTATGAATATTATGAATGCGCCATGCGGACACACAAGTCTCCATTTCAAATACCTATGTAGGTGCCTGGTACCTACCTATATGTTAGGATCCAACATCGATTTCGGTCAATATGTATGGTAAAAAAATACCTACTTATGACGAAAACGCATTCTGGCCACTAGCATATTGCCAATATCCGAACTATATTGCTTTTCGGCTGTTTAATTTAGCTCAGAAGGCGTTCTGGATCCTTTACAATGCCAGAATGCGTGCTGGTACTTATTGTTATATTGTCAGAACACCGCGTAGACACGCAGCCAACACATTCAAGTTTTAAAATAACAATCGATTTTAATGAATAAAAAATTACGGTAAATAGCCGACTTGAATTTATTACCTACCAATCTGAAAGTCCAGATTCGCTAAAGCTGAGCACAACAGCTTAACACGTTTCTGGGGCAAGTGACTGATGGCAATAGGTATGACAACAATTGCCAATAGGTACCCATTCTGGCATTGCATAAAGATCCAGAGAATGCATTCTGGGCTACTATATTAGCACGTGCAATGCGACAGAGTATAGTTCGTTTCTAATAAAAATGCCTTTGAAATATGTACCTACCTACCTAGTAGCTTAGTGTAAAGAATAGAATTACACTATGCTAGTAGTTGGTATCCGGTAGGTACCTACCTATCTATTGACTACAGGAATAGGTATTATCCTACATAATATACATTTTAGACCCTTTACAAGTATAGGTATTCGCCCTCAATATACCGGGTGAATACTTATTATTCCCAAACCAAACATAGGGAATTAACATGGGAAAGGTTTTTTGTAGATAGTTGCACCCCTGTTAACTTAGAGGGTTTATAATGACACCAATCGAAAGAAGATTTTTTTCCTCGTCTAATGATATACGAATTAGTTCATTTTCATGTGTATTTCTCCAGTATTTTATCAAAAATTCGGCAATAAATCCACTTACCAAAATCGTGTTAATGCGCAAGCTTTATAGGGGAGTCGATGGTGTCCGTCTGTCCGTGAACACGATAACTGTCAAACGCTTGGACCGATTCGGTTCAAACTTTGCACAGTTAACATATACAAATACATGTAAGAAGCCAATTGAAAATGGGTCAACCAATGACTTCGTGGGGTCACACCGAGATGCTTTGCCGCTTTTTTAAACGCTCTTTATGTGTTTATTTTCAACTAAATAAAAATAACATGTGTTGATGTCGCATTATCCTACTGCTATTCTTTGAAGTACCTAAAAAGAACAATTTTGGAACTGTCCAGAGAACATCGCACCAGCTTGGCCCAGACCCATAAATTTTCTTGCCTCAACCGATTCGTTTCTTTTGGGTGACGTTAAAGAACACAACGCCCACGGTCAACGTACAACCCTCGGGTTCTACACTGTTGACCTGGGGCGTTATTTAGTTTATAACGCCCTTGATACCTTAATAACTGTAAAATATGCATGTTAATTATCAAATTATCAATTATTCATTATCGTGAAATAAGAGACATAGGTAATTACTGTGCGAAATATTATTTGCGTAGGTATAAGCTATACCTACTGTGCGTATTTAAGGCTTGTCTCACAGTGGAAGCGTTTACGCGCGAACTGAAATTTTATTATTATTATTATTATTTATTTACAACTGTACATTTTTTTACAATTTCGTTACCTGTATTTTTGATACTCCCTACACATTACCGATTACAGTAGGTATACATAACAAAAAAAACAAACTACATCAGTATTTTAAGTTCGCCTTTGTCAATTTTACACAGAACATCTTTTTCACACCACATACTTTGAAATCCACTCACGTCCTTTTTTCCCAAAAACGCATGAATTGTACGCCCGTGTACGCACAAATCGCATTCGCACATTAGCCGCGTATCTATCATAAGCTGAGCAACTGTTCACAAACATAATCGCCTACAACTTTTGCGAATACGCATAAAAATCCGAACAAAATGGGATCGGTTCGCACGTCGCAATTATACGCACGTATACGGACGATTTTATTAATCGCTAATGTGCGAAGGTCCGTTTGAATAGTTCGTCCGTAAACGTACGTATTAAGCATAGCCATGCGTATTCGTACGAATTTCAGTTCGCGCGTAAACGCTTCCATATGTGAGACAAGCCTAAGTGCTATTATCAACGTTTTCATTAGCTGTTATTTTTTTTGAAAAACTACCTTTTAGAATTGGTACCGCAGCGCCTTAAGTAATATGACCTGAGGCGGCAGATGGTTGATTTTAGCATATTCGGATAGGGCAAAATGGAACTCCCATCGGTTAAAATTTTGATCATTCTCGTTCAGTGGATTTCGAGCTAGCTCCCCTACTATGTGTGTGAAAAGTTTTAATCTGCTGGTGCATGATGTGTAAATTTAAAATGTTCAATGTCAAAAATGTAATTTTAATTAAGTCAAATCACGGCATGGATAATCCGCTGCCCGGATAATCCGGGTTCTACTGTAGCACATTGTAACAAAAAAAAGTTTACAAACTACTCATTAATTATCAAGCAATTATATATGGAATGTAAGAGTTATCAATGGTGTTTTCTTATAAAAATCTTGGATCACTTCTTTCAAAATGCAGGGAAAACAAAATGTATAAAAGACAAATTATCCACAAAAAGCATATAACAGGCGACCAAAAATGAGTTGATGTCGAGTGGCCTTTGGAAGTTCAAATTAAGTACGATTTCCCATGTAAACAAAAATTCCAAAGGTAACTCGACAGCAACTGGTTTTTGTTCGTGTTGTATCTATCTTCAACCTTTATGAATCTTTACTTGCCAATTTAAACAAAAAAATTCTGCTTATGGGTGTGAAGGTACATTTAGATCTGACAACTTATAGCTAGACATATATGTCAAGTGCCTAAATTTGATTGTCTGTTTACATTTGGTATAGAAATTGCTACCGAATATGTGTATGACTATGTACCACTCGTTTACATTCGTATGATATATGTCTATAATGTCGTACATATCTTTCATTCTTTAAAAATTGAAGTATTCAAAAGAAAAAATAACGGAAACTGTCATTATTTTGACGCATATAAGAAAAAAAAGAAAAATTGGTTTCTCAATCTTTTTTTGTTATTTTTTCACTTGTATATTGTATAGTATTCAATTTATTAGCATTTTCCTTTAAGGCATCTCACTTCTTTGCACTGTCTTTATAAATTTCCTTTTAATGTCCCACACTTCAGGTTTATTGTGGTATAATTCTATTAATTTTTCAATTTCACCCCTTAACTGCAGCTCTTTACCACTCATTGTGTTCGAATAGGTGTACATGTATTTCTGCAGAGTTTACATCTAAACATGCATGTGCCACACTATATCTCCATAGTTGAAACACATGTCAGACACATATATATTTTTTATCGTTTAGGCTTGTCTCACAGTGGAAGCGTTTACGCGCGAACTGAAATACGCATGTTAACGTCAGAAATTGTACGTCCGTATACGCACAAATCGCATTCGCACATTAGCTGCGTATCCATCATGAGCTGAGCAACTGTTCACAAGCACAATCGTGTACAACCTGCGAATTCGCATAAAAATCCGAACAAAATGGGATCTGTTCGCACGTCGCAATTACACGCACGTATACGGACGATTTATTAATCGCTAATGTGCGAAGGTCCGTTTGAAATCGTACGTTTGAATAGTTCGTCCATAAACGTACGTATTCGTACGAATCTCAGTTCGCGCGTAAACGCTTCCACTGTGAGACAAGCCTTAGACATAAAAGAAAGAACTGAAACGCTTGTGAGGAGAATCGCGCATGCGCAAGTCTGTTGGTGGTATCTGTGCTGGGCACGGCAAATTTTTTCGTATTTATTACGGTTTGTCATTGTCCTCCGTGTTCTCTGACATGACATCGACCACAAACTGAATTCGCATTGATTCTGAACTTTTTGATTTTTTTATAAACATGTTCAGGGTGGTTCACATTCGTGGCTCACCATCGGGATCTCCGTAACGGCGGTGAGCGATACAGTGTAGGTTACATTGGGAAAAAGTTGCCCCTTTTTGTGATTAAAAAAATGGTTTTTGAAATTTTTGAAAAATCTTTGGAAATAACAGAGATATCAGCGAAAAACTGAAATTTGAAATTTTTTTTTCATTTTCCCTAACTTAAACGGTCGAAGATTGGCGATTACCGTTAGCACTTTTTTTCGGAGAATCTGAATCTGTTACCACAATTTTCATACCACGCTAGATGTAGCAGCTACAGGCCACTACTTTCTTATTTCTTATGGGGCCATATTCGATTTTTACGGAATGAGATAAAAGACAACAAGTTAAAAAAGTTATCGTAAACGATTTACAAAAAGCGCATTCATTTCCACTTGCATTCATTTCCCATTTGTAAGATACAACTCCTGTTAAAATCGTAAAAATCCGGCCACAAATATGAAAGATAGCGTTGCATACTTGCAATCCATTTTTGACGTGCCACTTCAATTTCAGTTTATAAGAAGAATTTCATTTCAATGCTT